CCGACAATATCGGCGACTCACGTTCCGCGGAGCACTCTCCGCTGCCACACACACCTGAAGGCGCTTCTGCTGAGGATATTGGACTTGGTTCCCCCCATGGAGCCGTAGCTCTTTCTGCGGACACGCTAGTTGTGCAAGACCCACTCCTGGAGGCGGAAATTTTAGACATCCTCGGCGCCGATCCGTCGGCACTGCCAACCAGCGAGTTGTCCTTCCATACAGCCCTTGCTGGTCGCTGGACCCATTTCCTCACTCATGGTCTGGATACTGTGGTGAAGAAAGAGCTCAAACAGAAATATACTGTGCCAGCCAATTGTGCCGCTTTGCAGGCACCCCTGCTTAACCCCGAACTACGTCCCGCCTTGCCACTTGTAGTGGGGCGAAAAGATCGCGCCGCCAGTTTGACCCAAACTTAGCTTGGTCTCGGCCTGGTTCCTCTGGGACAAGCTATGCACCTGCTGTTGCAACCCATGCCCAGCCCACCACCAGACAAGTTACTAGCACTTTTGTCAGATGCGGCCAAAATAAATAATCACTGACTCGTTCTATCACCTGACTCAATCTCGGCGGCACAATATCCTGAACAGTATTAACACAAAAAAAAAAAAAAAAAGAAACCTTACAACAAGCTCCGACGGATGCTTACCTATTTGGGAACGAGTTAGGTGAACGCCTTAAGGCAGCCAAAGCCCTTCTCCGTTCTTGTAACGATCTCAAACCCGCTCCTAAACCGTCGACGTCGCTGCTTACTACCCGCTTCCCTGCTGGCCATTCAGCAAAAAAAAAAAAAAAAAAAAGGGGGGGGGGACAAACCAATGCAGCCACCCTCGCGGGGGCCCGTCTCGGCGTCACCCGACGTCGCAGAGACAGCAGGGGCGTCCAGTTCGGATCCAGTCCAACCACCACAGGAACTAGAGGTGAGTACTCCCGCGGACCGGCTTTCCCGGTTTTATGAGCTGGAGTATCATCACGAATAATCAGTTAGTTTTGGACTGGTTAAAGGGTTATAAACTCGCCTTTATCACTAAGCCGTTTCAACACACGTCTGCCCATTCTGTAACATTTGCAAACAGACAGAAGAGAGGCATTGTTATAGCGATAAATGAGCTACTAGATCAGGGTGCAGTTCGAATTTGTTCACCCTGTTCCAATCAGTTTCTTTCACCATACTTTCTTGTTCAAAAAGCAAATGGCAACAACCGTTTTATTCTGAACCTTAAGAAGTTAAACACCTTTCTGCAACCTCCTCACTTTAAAATGGAGGACATACGAACGGTTTCTCGGCTTATTAAACAGGACTGGGTACTGTCGACCATTGATCTGAAAAATGCTTATTTTTTAATACCAGTTCACAAAAACTTTACCAAATACCTACGCTTTCAGTTCGAAGGCCACCTATTTGAGTTCGTTTGTATGCCTTTTGGCTTATGCACCGCCCCATTTGTCTTCACCAAGCTCATTAAACCTATCCTACATCTTTTACGTAGCAAAGGATTCGTTTGTGTCAATTACCTAGACGATTTCCTTCTACTCTCGGAGACATTTGAACAGAGGAAGTCTGACACGGCCTTTACTGTCCAGTTACTGCATTCACTTGGCTTTATTATTAACGACGAAAAGAGTTTGTTAAAGCCAAAATCCATTTGTAAGTTCTTAGGTTTTGTTTTTAATACACAATCCATGCGGATTGAACTGCCGTTTAAGAAACGACAAAAAATCCTTGTCATGCTTCAGAACATTCGTTCGGCCGCAACTCTCCGGATTCGCACATTAGCTCAATTTTTAGGACTCTTATGTTCAGTTGCCCCGCCGTTAAAAAGGGTTGGCTTTACACGAAACAATTAGAACGAGATAAATTCTTGGCGCTTCAGATGCACCATAACAATTATGACGCTCGGATGAGCATTTCGTCTCTGTCCTTGCAGGATTTCTCCTGGTGGTCATACAATATTTGGTCTGGTGACAATAATATACGCAGACACTTACGATCTTGAAATTTTTACCCATAGCTCTCTTACGGGTTGGGGGACCACCTGCAATGGTCAGACTACTAATGGTTGGTGGTCATTACACCACAAACACGAACATATTAACTTCCTTGAATTGATGGCGATATTTTACGCCTTAAAGTTCTTTGTTACCGATCGTGCTGCGATTAGCATTCTCATTAAGTGTGATAATACCACAGCCCTTTCGTATATCGACCGGATGGGCAGTATTCAGTACCCTAAGCTCTGTCACTTAGCATGTCAAATTTGGACTTGGTGCGAAACTCGTGATCTCTTTGTATACGCAGCGTATATAAGTTCCCTAGACAATGTTGTCACAGATATAGAATCCCGTAAACTACCAACGGAAAGCGACATTTCGTTATCACTATCAACTTTTGAACTCGTATGTCAGAACTTTGGAACTCCGGACATAGACTTATTTGCTATATACGAAAACACAAAGTGCAGCAAGTACATTTCTTAGAAGCCTGACCCTGCACCCGTTGCGGTTGACGCATTTACGGTATCATGACAATCTCTATCCTTCTACGCCTTCCCTCCATTTAGCATGGTTCTTCGAGTCTTAAATAAGATACTTGCCGACCAAGCTGAGGGCATTGTAGTGGTACCGCATTGGCCAGTGCAAAGCTGGTTTCCACTCTTCCAAAGACTGCTTATCTCAGATCCCTTATGTATTACAAGCGGTATTAATATATCCGTGTTTTCCAGCTTATCACCGAATCTTACCCTAGTTGCTTGCAAGTTGTCCGGAAAGCGTTCCTCCTCAAAGGAATAACCGCGGAGTCGATCCCAATCCTCCTAAAGTCTTTGTATGCCTCTACAATCAAGCAGTACAATAGTACGTATTGCAAATGGTGGCAATTTTGTGCAGAAGAGAAGATCTCTCCTTTTTCTTCGGGGCCAACAGAAGCTCTTCGTTTCCTTACGCACATTTTCAACACTCAGTCAGCGGCCTATGGGACTTTTAACTCCCACAGATCTGCATTATCGCTTATCCTAGCAAATACTGTGGGTGCCGACGAAAAAATTCGACGCTTCTTGAAGGGTATCACGCGTTTGCGACCACTGCAACCAAAATACAAATTCACCTGGGACCCTGCCATCGTCCTAGCTTATCTCCACACAACTGAGTTTGCTCCGGGAAACGTTTCCTTGCGGAATCTTACCCGGAAACTATGCACCCTGCTCTTATTAATAACAGCCGAGCGCCTCCAAACTCTTAGCCTAATTCGTGTCTCCAATATTCATAGCACCGACCGGATTCAAGTGGTTACTGTGGATGAAACTAAGACATTTTTTCGTACGAATGAACAACAATGTTTGTACATCCCCTTCTTTCCGGATAAACCCAACTTGTGCGTTGCAAGTTTTCTACAATTATACTTGCAAAATACAGCGGCTATGCGTAATGGTGAAGACCAAGTCTTTCTGACCACCAAGCCGCCGTACTCTGCCGCCAGCAAACTATCAGCAAGTGGGTACAACGGATATTACAAGATTCCAGAAATAACATCGGGAAATATACAGCCTACTCCACCCGTCACGCGGCATCATCAGCTGCTCATCGGAAGGGGGTTCCGGTAGACGTCATCCAGAAAACCGTAGGTTGGTCAGAAGCCTCTGGTGTTTTTGCTAAATTTTATAATCGACCACTGGGTCAATTCACGACGTTTGCTGCGGCTGTTCTTTCAATTATATAACGTCCCTTTTTATTTCTAAAGACATTAAATCTGTTGCATTTCCACCGATCGCAATGTCTTTCAACGACTACCTGTAAGTTATCTTGAGGACGAGGCTGTGTTGGACAATTGAATAGTCAAACGAGGTACTTACCGAAGTTCGACTCAAATTGTCCTAACAGCCTCGTCCGAAGAGATAACTCCCACCCAACCCAGAACTCACTTTGTAAACCCCACGTTATCTATGTATGTTATTGCGATCGTCCTTTGTCACTTTAAACTAATGACTCATGAGACGCTCCACGCAGTATGTGTGCGGCGGAGTGGGGACTACAGGACCGGACTACCGACTGCGCTTCTTTAAACATTGTGGTAAAATTGGGGCCCAAGAGAACTACCTGTAAGTTATCTCTTCGGACGAGGCTGTTAGGACAATTTGAGTCGAACTTCGGTAAGTACCTCGTTTGACTATTCAATCAAAAAGGTACCAAGCGACACAGCACTTTTTTTAATTGGTTGTGCAGTGCTTTGTTTCCTTGTAACTATCCTACAAACTTAGTGTTTTATAAGCGTCAATTTTGGCTTTATAACGAAGGTATTTACTCTGGTAAAACAAGGAAAGGATACTATTTTATTTGGAAAAAATGAAAATAGGTCGTGGCGCACAAAAGGTGGGATCTTCTTTTAAGAGCTTAATACCTACTGAAAATTTTACCAAATGGGTTTAACAGAACTGCCTCTGTGGCCTGACTCTTGTGGGCGTCAAAATCTATATATATAAAAATGGATGTTGGTATATATATATATCTGTGATCGATAGACTCCGAAATCGTTTGACCGATCACCATGAAATTTGGCACATGTAAGTGGTTTTTCATGGAGAAGGTTTTTGTGGTATCCGCTTTGCTGTAACTAGCCACTAGATGGCGCTACAGCACATCAACTTCTACACCGTTCAACCGATTCTCATAAAAATTGGTACACGTTGGCATTTGACTATGGAGAATATTTTCGCCCTATCCATTTTGCTGTAAGTCGCCACTAGATGGCGCTGCAACACATCAACTTCTGTACCAATCAACCGATCCTCATGAAAATTGATATACGTTGGTATTTGACCATGGAGAATATTTTACTACTAGAGATTGAAAATGCCACCCAAAATGCACCTGTCAAAGCATTATGAAATTAGAGAATCAACGGCATCAATGACAACATTGTCTTCGTTGGTAGACGAGTCATCTGTCTAATGACTGGAGATTATTGAAAATGCCACCCAAAAAATCAAACATTGGAAGATCAACCAGACATGCGCAGCAAGTGGCAGCCAGTAGAGCTGGTGAAACCTTTGAAATACGAAACGCGCGACTGGAAACTGACCGGATCAGGGCCTCTACTTCAAGAATTGCCGAAACACCCGAAGAGCGAGACTCACGAATTGAAAACCTGCGGGTGCGAGCGTCTACGTCAAGAGTTACCGAAACATCTGAAGAGCGAGATGCACGAGTTGAAAACTTGCGAGTGCGAGCTTCTACGTCAAGAGCTGCCGAAACATCACAACAGCATGACGTACGTGTTGAAGATCTTCGAGCAAGAGCGTCTGCGTCAAGAGCTTCTGCAACACCAGAAGAGCGAGACACACGACGTGAAGCAGAACGCTCACGGCAGACTCGATCAAGAACAAGAATCGATCTCAAGAAAGCAGCGTTCAATTACGATAAAGACTATGGGGCCAATTCCAAGTTGGTGGCGCAAGTCACTGGTGCAGCGCAACTTTATAATGCTAATTTGGGTATCAAACGCTGGTTGCTAGGGGTGACGGAATCAACAAACGCAGTTGTGTCGAATTTTCATTGAAATTTGCACCATGGAGTTGCGGCACCTCTAGTAGGCAGTGCAAGTTGGCGCAATTTATCTCGAAAAATTGCGCTTGTTTATTCCGTCACCCCTAGCAACCAGCATTTGATACCCAAATTAGCATTATAAAGTTGCGCTGCACCAGTGACTTGCGCCACCAACTTGGAATTGGCCCCTGAGACTACAAAATGCATCGCGATGTTGTCATTGGTCCGATGACTAAATTGTGTCTACACTGTCGCGCTTTGAAGTTTCAAAAAGAAGCGCCTGGCATGTGTTGCTCCAATGGCAAAATCAATTTACCACCACTGACTGAACCACCAGAACCACTGCTCACTTACGTTGCTGGAGTTACTCGGGAGTCCAAACACTTTCTACAGCATATTCGGAAATACAACTCATGCTTTCAGATGACATCGTTTGGAGCGACGAATATTGTGAGATATAATAATTTTATGCCCACATTTAAAGTGCAAGGACAAGTGTATCATCAGATTGGTTCACTCCTTCCAGTATCCAAAGAAGATCCGCAATTTTTGCAAATTTATTTCATGGACAATGTGGAGAAGGAGATTGATCGACGATGCGCATTTAGTATAGCAACAAATCGAAAGATTATTGCTGAATTACGAGCATTATTCCACGAGCACAACTGTTTGGTCCGAGATTTCAAATCCGCATTGGAGAATGTAAGAGCGGATGACTTTAAACTCATTATCAGAGCAGACAAAACCCCATCGAATGAGCATGAAAGACGCTTCAATGCTCCAATAGCCCCTGAAGTAGCAGCTGTAATTGTCGGTACAGAAATTACTCGGCGAGATATTGTTATCAGCAGGCGAAATCAAACCAAGCAACGTATTGCTGAAACACATCGATCGTACGACGCACTTCAATATCCAATTCTATTTCCGCGAGGAGAAGACGGTTATCATCTCGAATTGTATCAAACTCATCCCGTCACAGGTGCTGCGACAACGAAAAAAGTCAGTTGTATGGATTTTTATGCATATCGCATCGTGATTCGAGCCGAACAATCCAACCATATCTTAAAGTGTCGTCATGTTTTTCAACAATTCATCGTTGATATGTACGCCAAAGTCGAAAGCGAACGACTCAATTACATTCGTTACAATCAATCGAAGCTTCGAGTCGAAGATTATATTCATTTGCGAGATGCAATCGCGAATGATGGAACAATTGGTAATATTGGACAAACGGTTATACTTCCAGCTTCGTATACTGGAAGTCCAAGACATATGCAAGAATATGCTCAGGATTCTCTGACATATGTTCGCAGATATGGACGTCTAGATCTTTTCATCACGTTCACGTGCAATCCATCTTGGTGTGAAATCAAAGATTTACTTTTGCCTGGCCAGCAACCATCTGATCGGCATGACCTCACAGCGAGAGTTTTCAAACAAAAATTGATACGTTTTATGGATCTCATCACTAAGAACCATATATATGGAGAAACTCGCTGTTGGATGTATTCCATCGAATGGCAGAAAAGAGGTCTACCACATGCTCATATCTTAATTTGGTTGGTTGAAAAAATTGTTCCAACTCAAATTGATGATATCATTACTGCTGAGCTGCCCAACGCAGAAGAAGATCCAGAATTATTTGAAATTGTGAAAAAAAATATGATTCACGGACCATGTGGGGGACACAACCCACACTCGCCATGCATGAAAGACGGAAAATGCACCAAAAAGTATCTACGCCAGCTGCTGCAAGAAACACAAACTGGTGGCGACGGTTATCCGTTGTACAGACGACGAAAACCAGATGATGGAGGATACATCACAACTATCAAAATCAATAACGTTGATTTCGAAGTTGATAACCGATGGATTGTGCCCTACTCTCCTATCCTTTCGAAATCATTCAATGCACATATCAACGTGGAGTCCTGTAATTCAGTTAAGGCAATAAAATACATATGCAAATACGTGAATAAAGGCAGCGATATGGCAATTTTCGGAATTGCGAATCCCAATGCGCCCGTCAATGAAATCGAGCAATTTCAAATGGGACGTTACATTAGCAGTAATGAAGCTGTATGGAGAATTCTTGGTTTCGACATTCATGAACGCTTTCCTGCTGTCATGCATCTCAGTGTTCACTTGGAAAACGGTCAACGAGTCTACTTCACGGAAGACAACGCACCCCAACGAGTTGCAGATCCACAAATACAACGTTGACCGCTTTTTTCCAATTGTGTGCAACTGACGAATTCGCAAAAACATTAATGTATCACGAAGTCCCGCAGTACTACACTTGGAATCAATCGACGAAGAAATTTTGCAGAAGAAAACGAGGCGCCAGGCATTCTTCTATAGCTGGCATATTTTCTACTGGTGCACTGGGAAGAGTATATACTGTTCATCCAAATAATGGTGAATGCTACTATTTGGGAATGCTGCTTCACGTGGTCAAAGGACCAACATCGTTTCAAGCAATCAAAACAATCGATGGTCAAGAGTGTGAGACATACAGAGAAGCATGTTTTAAACTTGGTTTGCTTGAAAATGATCAACATTGGGACAACACATTAGCAGAAGTATCTGAGACACGTCATGCCCATCAAATACGAACTCTGTTTGCCATAATTTTGACTACCTGCGCACCTTCTGATCCGAAAGGTTTATGGGAAAAACACAAAGAGAGTATGAGCGAAGACATACTTCTCCGAGCACGCAGAAATAATCCCGGCTTGGATGTACAGTATTCGGAAGTCATTTTCAATGAAGCACTGATATCACTTGAGGATGTGTGTATGTCGATTAACAACAAAATCCTCAATCAGCTTGAGCTGTTTTCACCGGAACGTGACAGAAACGATGTTATAGATAGAGACGTATTGCGAGAAAAACAATACGACGTCGATGCGCTACAAGTTTATGTTGAAACTCAGAAAAGGCTCTTAACAAACGATCAACGACTTGCATACGACACAATTATGGAGCATGTGCGAGGCGGAAATGGTGGACTTCTTTTTCTTGATGCACCAGGAGGCACAGGAAAAACATTTCTACTCAATTTGATACTCGCCGAAATTCGAATGAAACATGAGATTGCTTTGGCTGTGGCATCGTCGGGGATTGCAGCAACATTACTCGATGGAGGACGCACGGCGCATTCGGTTCTCAAGCTGCCATTGAATTTAAATCTAGCTGTTGATCCTCTTTGCAACATTGGAAAAACAACTGGAATGGCAACTGTATTGAAAACATGCCAACTGATTATTTGGGATGAATGTACTATGGCCCATAAGAAAGGACTTGAAGCACTTGATCGTACTCTGCGAGATTTCCGAAGCGATGAACGTCCACTGGGCGGAGCTCTGATCCTGCTCGCAGGTGATTTCCGTCAAACTTTGCCCGTGATTCCTAGATCAACACCAGCAGACGAGTTGAATGCATGCCTGAAAAATTCGTCTCTCTGGAGACATGTGAAAAAAATTACACTGTCGACCAATATGCGTGTGCATTTACTTGGAGATGTTTCTGCACAAATATTTGCCAAACAACTTTTGGATATCGGCGACGGCAAACTTTTGGCTGATCCTACAACACAGGAGATAGCGTTCTGCGCTCCAGACCATACATTTATATCCACATATATACAAAGTAAATATATACACAAGCAGGACAACGTCTGCCGGGTTCCGCTAGTAGTAATATAAAAACTGTATTCATGTCAAAATCAATTTTATAGCAACATTCTACTTAACAAACGATTTATTTGAAATTTTTTGTTTCGGAACATAGTTTTTTACCAAATGACAAAGATTTTGGAGTCGTTAAGTATATACGCCACAAGATTACGCCAATATTATGTTAAATGGTAGAAAGAAAAATCCACTTATTGTTTAGTTTATGCAGTAAGAACATTTTTGTAGTGAAGCCGATTTAGAGTCTAGTGTCATAAATAGAAGGCATACATGAACAAAAAATTAGATGCTTGAAAACAAGAGTGATTAAACTTTCTAAAGATAAACCGCTTTCTATTTTTATGAAGAGTAATCAGGAAAATGAGATTTACAATGAAGTTTTAATGCATAAAAGGACTTCTAAAAATTTTGGAAAACTGTCTACATTATGGCCCAATGGAAAAACAATATTGCGTAAAAAGTTGGCAGATCTAAAAACATGATGTCTTTTTATTCCCGAGGATGCAAAACTCTTTTACAAAAACTTACGGGGAATAAACTGCGAATTTTATGTGGAGGGTTTTTCAAACGATATCGATTTCGAATTAGGGGAAACAAATTTAACTTAATCATTTTTGTTTTTGTTTCATGGCATATGTGCCTTTTTATAGCAGGTCGTTAAATTAATATAAATATATATATTTTTCAAAAAATTACTTAGTGCCTTTTTACGGAATAATAAATTTAATATGGTTTTCTCAAAAAAGAACCAAGCGCAAAATTTTAATGAAAGTTTACTCTAGTATTACCCAAATTGCAATTTTGTCGCTTAGTACGTTTTTGGTTAACGTGGTCCAATTTCTCTTGGTTTCTATGGAGTGAGAATATCGATTTTCTGTTTCCTTGTACCTATTTGTTAGCGAATTTTTAGGCAAATGTTCTCCGAAACGCTTCTTTTTGGGTGTATTTTATAGATTTTTTTTTATATTGCGATTTCAAAATTTTTACTCATTAGTATTTTCTACATCTTATCTAAATACTTATTAAACCTGTGTAATGTTGAATAGCACCGTTATTAAAAATTAGTAGGTATGTAGGTAAAAAGTTGATGTTAACTTGTATATTTTTCTTGGTGTATACAAAAATTTCATGTGTTTTTTGTTTCAGTGGGTTTGTAAATGAAGATGAGGGAATTCGCTAAATTGTAGCAGAAGAAGAAGCCTAAAGATCAGAATTTTGCATTTATCTTAAATTGGGTGTTGTTTTTTTTAAACATTTTTTTATGCACTCTTTTTTCCTTATGTACGTATGTTTAGACAATTTTTTCCTTTCGATTTTTCGTGCAGGAGAAAAAATGAGGTTTTTTCAATTTTTTTCCACGAACATTCAAAATAATTGTATATTATTAATGTTTAATTAGTGTTTGATTCTGTTCATAATCTACTTTGATCATTTCATTAAACTATATATATGTAAAATAAACTTCGCCGGTTTTTTCACCGGCCGACGAAAAGACTAAGGTTTTTAAAATTTCGCTGTTCTAATTCGAATTGTCAGTATAGTCGTGAAAATTTAGTAAATTTTCGTAGGTGATTTCTTATGTTACGAATATGTTGCTTTAATAAAAAAAAGTTTCAAGTTGTAACATATCGAATTGTCCAACGCCGCCTCATCGCTCGAGATAACTTACAGGTAGCTTCGCTTGCCTCGATAAATGCCACAAGAGTTTAAAGAATAATTCCCTAGATGGCCCTCCTCCGATCCTGCGCTCCTTCCTCGTTGTCGTGTCTACGCCATTCGCTTTCTTGTGCTCGTTCTGTCAACAAGAGTTCGCGATTGGTACGGATCAACCGTAAGTATCGCTCATAATTTAACCTCCAACCCCCCTTTTTCTCTCTAGCTAGGTGAGAATGGGGCACAGAAGCCGAAAACGCTCCCGTTCCACATCGCCGCGCAGACGGGCGTCGTCCAGTGCATCCTCTTTAAGTGATGACGCCGCCACATGCAAAAGACTGGCCAAACGTCTGCGCCGCCTGGAGCGCAAGGTAAAACGACAGAGGCGGGCTACGCCACGCCGTTCTGTCGCTCGGTGTTTACAAGACCGAGTATCTCGCCATGGCGCGAGTAATAATCATCCATATCGCCGATCTCCCGACAGCGATCGCTCCCGCCCGGTTTCTTCTGCCGACGAGAACGGGGATGATCGTGGCACAGTACGATGTCCGACTCCCACGTCTCCGTCGACGCAGTTAAGTAAATCCGTGGAACCGCAACCGGCCGACGCCGATGTCGTACTCGTATGCAATGACAACGAGCTCGAACAGGAAATTCTGGACGTGTTAGGCGCCGACCCGTCCGCCGCTACGACGGACAAATGTCAACTGCACACGGCGCTTGCGTCCCGCTGGACGCATGTGCTTACGAACGGCTTGGAGGCGACAACAAGAAACGACCTGCTCGCCAAATACAAAATTCCTATTAATTGCGCGCGACTTGAGGCGCCTGCTTTGAACCCCGAAATAAAACCTGCTTTGTCCGAACTGTCACTCAAAAAAGACAAGTATCAGACCCTCGCCCAAACACAACTGGGCGTAGGTTTAGTGCCGTTAGCACAGGCCATAAATGCGCTTCTCGCATCAAACGAACCGCCACACTTCGATAACATTCTTTCGTTGCTAGCGGACACCGGAAGACTGCTCACGGACCTCTTTTTTACCATGTCCAAGCATCGCCGCTATAATATAAGCCAGAATTTAAATAAATCGCTCAAGGACGTCCTGCAGGAGGACACGCCCGGCGAATTTCTATTTGGACAGGCGCTCGCCGACCGCATAAAAACCGCCAAGTTCCTCCAAAAATCTAGCCTGGACTTAAAGGCGGCAAAAGCTCCAAGGTCGCAACCGGAAAAAAGGGGGGGGGTTACCAAGTCCACAGTGATGGTAGCACCCTCTGGGTCGGGAAACCGGCGAAGTCCAATCCGAACATCGAGACGCCGGAGCGGACTGTTGACGTCGCAAGCGACATTCCAAGCGTCTCGCTCAGGAAAATCCCGCGGCCAGAGCTACAGAACACGCCGGATGTAACTACAGAGGTAGGTTGCGCAGGCCGATTAGGCAAGTTTGCTGAACAGTGGCAGATTGTCAGCATAAATGACTCCATCCTTCAATGGATTCGGGGTTACAAAATCCCTTTTGTGACACAACCACAGGCCTCCCGTAGCATTAAACCAGGCACGAGGTCACATGATAAGGAAGACATCCTCCCAGTTATCGCGGAGCTGCAAAAACAGGGAGCAATCGAACCTTGTGAGCCTATGAGAGGTCAATGGTTGTCACCGTTTTTTCTTGTTAAAAAACCTAACGGCAAGAACAGATTTATTTTGAACTTAAAAGGTCTTACTCAATTTCTTGCGCCTCCCCATTTCAAAATGGAAGATATCAGGTCTGTAACAAAACTTGTACAGAAAAATTGGTTTATGAGTTCCATTGATTTGAAGGATGCATATTTTTTAGTTCCGATAGATCCAAATCACAGAAAATACCTACGGTTCCAATATAAGAATCAATTCTTTGAATTTACTTGTCTGCCCTTTGGGCTTTCAGTCGCCCCTTATGTGTTTACAAAAATTATGAGACCAGTAGTTAAGTATTTAAGGTCTGCGGGCATACTTTGCTTGAATTATTTAGATGACATCCTCATTTTAAGTGAAAATTACGAGGCAGGTCAAAGCCATATACACGTTGCAACAACACTGCTAGAATCTTTGGGTTTCCTTATCAATTATAATAAAAGTTCTCTGATCCCTAGTACAAGGTGTACCTTTTTAGGTTTTATTATTGACTCACATAGCATGAGTTTAGAACTTCCCAACGAAAAACAGCGTCGAATTTTAAAACTCGTAAACGAAATCAAGCTATCGAAGAAACTTCAGATAAGAAGATTGGCACACACTCTTGGCGTGTTAGGTTCTTCATGTCCAGCCATAAAATATGGATGGCTGTATACCAAACGTTTGGAACGCGATAAATATCTAGCATTACGCAGAACAAACGGTAACTACAACGCCTATATGCATCTTTCGAAACATTCATTCGAAGATCTCGATTGGTGGTTGCTCCACACCACCAGGTGCAATAACGAAATCCGACAGGATCATTTTGAGTTAGAAATTTTTACGGATAGCTCCTTAACCGGGTGGGGGGCATATTGTCAGGGGGAAGTCACTAACGGTTGGTGGCCACTGAATGTACAAACTAAACATATTAATTTTTTGGAACTACTGGCGATCCAGTATGGTCTGCAATGTTTTGCTAATAGCTATAAATCAGCTAGCATTCTCATTAGGTCGGATAATACAACAGCAATCTCGTACATTAACCGAATGGGTAGTGTTAAGTTTGCGGACTTATGTAGTTTAGCACGCAAAATTTGGCAATGGGCTGAAGAACGAAATCTCTGGCTTTACGCTTCATACATAAGCTCAGACAACAACACGATTGCAGACCAAGAATCACGTAAACTTCCGCCGTTAGAAACAGAATGGTCACTGTCAGGTGCCGCATTTCACACAATAATTACCACAATTTCTGCCCCGGAAATAGACTTGTTTGCCTCCTATGCAAATTTTAAATGTGAAAAATACGTTTCCTGGAAACGAGATCCAGGCGCAGTCATGATAGACGCATTTACAATTTCCTGGAAAAACTTAAACTTCTATGCGTTTCCTCCATTTTCGCTGATTCTGAGGGTTTTAAATAAAATCATTAACGAAAAAGCAACAGGTATTGTGGTTGTGCCGCACTGGCCTACGCAGGTTTGGTTCCCACTATTCAGCAAACTCATTGCTAGCGAACCTATTATTTTTTCCAGCACACCAGACTTAATAACTTCTCCTTACAGTTCGGCGGCTCACCCACTCAAAATTACCCTGGTGGCCGCGCGGTTGTCAGGCACGCTCTTTCATTAAAAAATATACCAGAGGCAGTCATACCAACCATGTTAAACTCTATAACGGACACCACTCTAAAGCAGTATGACACGACTTACCATCAGTGGTGGGACTTTTGTAACCAGCACGCAATATCCCCTTACACTGCGGATAAGACTCAGGTACTGACTTTTTTGCAACATATTTACAGTACCAAAGCAGTGGCTTATGGCACCTTCAATTCACATCGGTCAGCGTTAGCCTTAATTTTACCAGGAGACATGGGCAATGACCCTCACATAAAAAGATTTTTAAAGGGTATAGCACGACTTCGACCTCCACGCCCCAAGTACGATTTCACCTGGGATCCAGGGTTGGTGATACAATATTTCCAAAGATACTCACCAAATGACTCACTAAGCTTGACCAATCTTACGTATAAACTCATTTGTTTGTTAGCCTTAATAACAGGACACCGCATTCAGACTCTCTCATTAATTCGACTGTCTAACATTCACATTAATCCCGACAAGATTCAGATTCGAATTACTGATGAACTAAAAACCTCAACGCGGACAAACACACAACCGTGCTTACAGATTCCTTTCTTTGAAGAGAATCCCTCAATTTGCGTAGCCTCTGTACTAACGACTTATCTCCAACGTACCGCAGATCTTCGCAGTAAGGAAGACCGATTGTTCGTCACAATTAGGCCCCCTCATAGGGCAGCTAACAAACAAACCCTCAGCCAGTGGATAAAGAGGTCACTCAGGGCTGCAGGAATTGACACTTCAATTTTCAGTGCACATTCGACGCGACACGCGTCAACATCGGCAGCCTATCGTAGCGGCCTATCTTGGGATGTTATTCGAAAAACAGCGGGATGGTCTTCGGGATCATCCGTTTTTGCTCGGTTTTATAACCGTCCTCTCGCACAATCAACAGCCTTCGCTTGTGCGATGCTAAAAGACTGAATTTGTTTAGGTTATCCTTTATTATTTTCTTTCCTTTGTTTATTGTGCTTAGTGTTCAGCCTAAGGGACCAAATATATTTGTATCAATATATTCCATAAGCATTTTATAAACTTCTCATGACTTCTCTTGGGGGTTGTATGTGTGGAACGCAACATCTTTCTTTAAACGTCTACCTGTAAGTTATCTTGAGCGATGAGGCGGCGTTGGACAATTAACTAGTCAAACGAGGACTTACCGAAGTTCGACTGTAATTGTCCTAGCCGCCTCATCCGAAGAGATAACTACCCCCCCTACCCAGACAATCTGTTTTTTCACGCTTGAAAAGCATGTTGGAGAAACCCCTTTTTTAGATGTTGCTAGGTTCTTTCAACAAATGGCGTAGACACGACAACGAGGAAGGAGCGCAGGATCGGAGGAGGGCCATCTAGGGAATTATTCTTTAAACTCTTGTGGCATTTATCGAGGCAAGCGAAGCTACCTGTAAGTTATCTCTTCGGATGAGGCGGCTAGGACAATTACAGTCGAACTTCGGTAAGTCCTCGTTTGACTAGTTAATTATTAATATTAATAATCATTTCATTCTGTCCTGAAATATCTAAAACGTTTTTATTTTCCCAAGCACAATTTATTATTTTATCAGTATGTTTAACGTAATCGTTCCAATGTACAGCCAAAACTTGATCAATCACATTTTACCAAATTGCACAAACATCATTAGGGGAAGAATTGGTTCTTGGAATGATCTTATAATAATTTCTTTTAACTTTCGACCATACTATTTCAATAGTATTGAAATGACAGTGGTAAGGTGGCAGCCTCAATACACAATGCCAATACTAATTCTAGAAGAGTAGAAGACATATTTTTCTTGTATTCAAAGTCACTTAAACCTAGACTTTTTTGTAGCTTGTAAACAGATTTTTCGGAACATTTCTGCAGCCACATTTAAAATTATTTGTTTTGCTTGGTCGTTAAATCGCTTCATTTTTGACTGGGACAAATGACAAAGTTCAAAATTTGACAAGACTACGACCTACTCAAAATTTGGTGAAAGAGAAAAAGTTTGACTTGGAGTATTTCTTTCACACTAAATATGATCGAATTCTTTTTATTTTACTTTATCTACTGGGTCACGTTTTTCTTTTTTACACTTTTTTACAAAAGTTATTTATTGGTCTACTTATTGTTGTCAAAGTCTTAAATAAAACGTTCTTCCATTAACGAGTGCTGATTCATTTTTTTTTTAATGAACAAGAAACAAGTAATATTATATATGACGTGTCTTTTACAAAGCGATAAAGTCCATCATTTGCTTATCGTTACCTACATAATACGTATTTTCGAACAGTAAAGTAAGCAATTTATTAACCACATTCATTGCATCACATTACCCACCACTTTCTACGTTTAAGTAAATAATAATAATAATGTTCCGTATAATTTTTGCATTAGTTTTGCTAATCTCAGTTTTGGAATTAATGAGTGTGTGCATGGCCTCTGCAAATCGTCATAATTCTTCATCTACAACAACTAAATTGAGAAACACAATTTCAAGTAGTGCAATCTGCAGAATATTGAAGCAAATAGAATCTAACAAACGTCTGGACTCAGTTGGCAAGTTTTTAAATCACTTTGGTGATGTCAAGAAAATATGGTCATTCGTGAAATCATATTTCCATTGCAATAACTAGAATTTTGCTACTGTTAACGTCTGTAGTGTAGGTAGTCGTTTATGAATATTTATAATTCTTATCAAAAGTGCTTTTGTTTGGTGGTACTCTAGCCTATAAACTTTTGTAATTAAAAGGTAAGTGCGCATTCATAATTATCGTGGCGATTAGCAATTCAGATAATAAGACAAAAACGTGTTACCTAGTAGTGTCACTTTTGGAAAATACAGCTAGTCATGGCTGTGCTTCAAATGAACGTAATGAATACCTTGATTTGTGTAAGAATTTGGTACTACCACAGTTACAAATTCAGGTAACATTTTTCAGGTTGTTTCTTTAGTCGTTTTTGTAACTGCTTCTGCACCTGCACATTCCCCGCCACAAGCTACAGAGGAAGATGAAAGTATGGTTTACAACTATCTCCTCATGGCGAAAACTCTCATGGAATCACTTTCCTACGACGAATTTTGCGCTTTTCTCGAGTTATACCGCAGTAGTGACATGATGGATAATATGTTGCAGCAGTTCAAACTCTTCGACATCGACTCGAAGAAAGTTTGGGCGTTTATTGATTCTCACATTGGTTGCGACGGTTCTCTCAGCGAAAAAACCAAATTTAGAAGATTCGCAGAAAGTATTGGTCGCATGACTTTGAACACGCATCGGAGGGTCCTAAATTATTTAGATGGAGTGAGAAATAAGGCCGAGTTGTAGGTGTTTCTATGCATAAGATTCTGTAATTACGTTCAAGAAATAAACAAAATAAACGTTTCTCTCAAGTCTGGATCAATAGAAGTTTAGTACACAGGTTAATTAGAAACAACTTTCCAACTTTTACCCCCTGAATAAAATAGTTTCGTACACAGATGTTGGTAACAGTTGAGTAACAAGTTACATTTACTATTTCAGGAGAACTTGTCTAATGCATCAGTAAATTTAATCTGCGTCTGAATTTTAATTATTCAACAAGGCCAAATAAACAAGTGGGAATTGACGTTTGTCCAAAAACGTAATTTTCGTTTGCAGTGCATGCAACCCTGGAGAGCCAGCTGAATGTGGAGGAAGTTTGCATAATGTCACACGATTATTCTAAAATGGGGGCAGGCAACAGTGGCAGAATAGGCGATTTCCTACAATTAACGACCAATTTCCAGTCCATCTTGCCGTGGGCTGAGAGTTGGCACGCCTGTTGTCGGTGGTGTTTTTTGCTCCTCGGGCGCAATTACGATTAATTAAAATTTTAATAACTTTAGTTCTACCGTAGCTGATGCGTCGGCGACGAAGTTTAATGCGAATTTTTTTATTTTAAAACGTTACGTCTTTTATTAAGGAATTTAAATGTAAATATATAGTTCGTTTTTTAATTTTTACGTCTGTTGTATTTTAAATAGGCGACTTTTGTGTTCGTCATAGACGTGTCAGTGATAACAACCATGTCTAATTAGAACTATGCAGCAATGGAGCAATTAAAAAAATTAAAGTTAACTGCTTCAATTGAAGCCTAGTTGGTTTTGTAGTAAACTGTTGTATACAGTGTGTAATTAAGTTATCCTTGGAATGGATTTAGCATGTCCGTGATTTAATTACAATGAAAAATGCCGACGATATTCATCTATTCAGTGAAAGTTTTTGGCTCTTTACGGACACAAGTTGATAAATTATCGCTAATAGGCAAGAGTGTAATAGTTTTAGCATCTCTTGACATAATTTATTCAGCTTTATTCTTATGTATTCTTTGATAGCTTTTTTACAATGACAGTTTATTGCAAAACTTGTAATGGTGCAGTTATACCAAATGTGGTTCTTGCTCTTGTTATTTCCATGGTAAAGGCGTGGGAATTGACAAACAACAATTATTGAGATTGAGGTTGTATAAAGGAAATTTTTAAAAATTTTTAGCTTTCTTTGGTGTTTACCGCTTCTTATATAATCTTCTTCATAATATATGTTTAAGATGTACTTTTACTATGTTTAAGGTTACTTAATTTTTGTCAAATTTCTAGTTATTTTTCGTAGGAGTTTATTTGGTTTCTGTGACTGGGATTTCTTCCTGTTGAATCAATAAATAAAATTAAATTATTAGTAAATGACGAAAATGTTGCACATTTGGTTATAAACATAAATGAACTCTTAGTTGGTGACAGTTGTTGGATAAATTGTGTTTTTTGGGTGTTCCCCTGAAAATAGATTTATGAAATTGTAGAAAATTAAAATTAATTTTCTAAAAACGTTTCTATGACGTTGGACGCAGCTTTAAACATATCATTTCTGACAGTTTTAGTTTCAAGGATGAATGGATTACAAATTTTGTTGCTCGGCCAACATATAGAATAATTTGAAATAACTCCATTGTCGAAACTGGAATAATGTTTTTTCAAGGAATCTTTCCTCCGTAAGCATTTTAGGAGCAACATAATTTAATGTATCTATTTTTTTTTAATCCCTTCACTGAGTATGAGAACGTTTTTAGATTTACGACTGAACTAAACTGATAAATTCTTTTGTATTTTTTCTTCATTTTCATGAAACATACCAACGTTTATTTATAGATTTTAAGTAACGGTTTTGTCTTTGACGTCAATAATTTGTTAAAACTTTACCATAAAAAACGTCAACTTAGTAGTAATTAGGCAGATAAAAACGGATGAAAACAAAAAGTGAAGGTTACTTATTTGAAAAAATAATTTTCACTGACTTTTAAGAACTTATGTAGTTTTCTAATGGGTAGTAACAAAGACAGCAATAACGATCAAAGACAACCATGTATTTTTGAAGAATATTCGTCTCGACCGACAATTTGAAACTTTGAGACAAAAACGCAACTATCACAGACATACTTCAAAAATCCATGGCTGGTTTTGATAGTGTTTTTATTGCTCTTTCGTAATGATACTGTTAACTAAAAACAATCATTGCGGCGTACCTATACAGTATCAAAAGTATGGCGTACACTTTTATTTATTTATTTTTGAAATAACCTTGTAGGAGTATTATTTTATCTGAACAATACTGTGTTGTATAAGTGATTCATATTTTCTCGGTAACTATGCCATTAAAAAAGTGGAATAATGTTTTTTCAACTTACCATTTCTATGTAAATATTTTACAAGAATCATAATTTATTGTAGAAGATATTTTTGAAATGTCCTATTTAAGTAAAGTTTGTGAGAGTTCTTTGATTCACGGCTGAAAGACTGAAAGGGGGAGGAAAAAAATTGTTTGTACATTTGTTGTACTTCTATTAGGTCTTTGAACAACATTTTTGTTCTTCCTAACGCATTTGGTGTTTCGTTTTGAAAAGTTTTTCAAAGAATCTTGGAGGTTCCTAATGTATTTTACTGCCCCTTGTATGTTATTTTATTTTTGATAGAATTTGAAAAAATTTTCGGGTCTTTCGTTTTTGAAAGAATTTGAAGGGACCTTGGGGATTCGTGTTCTTGTAATCTAGAGAATTTCAATAAATCTTCTGGGCTATTAGCCTCTTTTTACTTCCCAACCGCAAGTTGGAAATATTGTAGTAGAGTCCATTGAGCGAGTAGCTACTTTAATACTTTCTCGTCATTTCATGGCCCCAAGAGCACGAACAAACAGGTCTCCCGTTTCCGTCCGTTTGTCTGTCTATCTGTTTGTCTGTCCATCTGCGTTTGCGTCTATCCAGATGTTTCTTAGACTAGAAACTACGGGACCAATTTTTGTCAAATTTTGTATGAGTGATTATGCTGGGGGTTCTAGACAGTTTGACCTCATTTGACCTGTGCTAAGACATCTATCATTTTTTATTTATTTTATTGACTAAATATATTTTCTGTAGATTCTGGGCCGCAGAAGTTACCTTTGCCTTCATTTCTTCGATAACTTAAACTGTTTTTCCAGAATCGTCCATTGAAATATCGTAATTTTTTAAAATTTCGAAAAATTCGAATTTTACACCGAATCTTCCAAAAATATTGCTCCGTTACCATCAACGCGCAATATTTTTGGAATCAGCATGTCGAGATCTACGTCCCCAAATTTTTTTACAATTTTTAGACAACTTTTTTAAATGTGAAATTCTTTCAATGGTCCTCCCCCCTTCTTCAAATTTCGGCCAAATTTTGACATTTTCGAAACTTAACTAAACACATTTTCTTCTAGACTTCGAGCTCCAGAACCCACTTCGGGCCTCGTTTCTTTGATAAATGCAACCGTTTTTCCGAGATCGACCGCTGAAATATCGAAATTTTTAGAAATTTTCAAAAATTCGCATTTCGTACCGATTTTTTCGAAAATGTAGCTCCGTGACCATCAACACGCTATATTTTTGGAATCATCATATCGAAATCTACGCCCCTGAATTTTTTCACAATTTTTTGCCAATTTTTTTAAATGTGAAATATTTCAATGGTCCCCCCCATTAAATTTTCGGCCAATTTTTGACATTTTCGAAACTTAACTAAACACATTTTCTTCTAGACTTCGAGCTCTAGAACCCACTTCGGGTCTCGTTTCTTTGATAAATGCAATCGTTGTTCCGAGATCGACCGCTGAAATATCGAAATTTTTAGAAATCTTCAAAAATTTGCGTTTTGTACCGATTCTCGCGAAAATCTTACTCCGTCACCCCACACATTCAATATTTTTGGAATCAGCAAGTCGAGATCTATATCCTTGAATTTTTTCAGAATTTTTACATGACTTTTTTAAAAGTGAAATTTTTCCAAAGGTCCCCCCGTCTTCAAATTTCGGCAACTTTTTACATTTTCGAAAATTAACTAAATACATTTTCTTGTAGATTTCGAGCTCTAGAACTCACTTTCGGCCTCGTTTCGTTGATAACTGCAACCGTTTTTCCAGAATCGACTGTTGAAATTTTGAAATTTTTAGAAATTTTCAAAAATCCGCATTTCGTACCGATTCTCGCGAAAATTTTACTCCGTGACCCCACACATTCAATATTTTTGGAATCAGCAAGTCGAGATCTACATCTCTGAATTTTTTCAGAATTTTTTGACGATTTTTTTGAAAAGTGAAATTTTTCCAATGGTCCCTCTTTGTTCAAATTTCGGCCAAATTTTGACATTTTTGAAATTTAACTAAATACATTTTCTTATGTATTTCGTGCTCTAGAACCCACTTCCGGCCTCGTTTCTTTGATAACTCCAACCGTTCTTCCAGAATAGTCTGCTGAAATACTGAAATTTTTAGAAATTTTCAAAAATTCGCATTTCGTACCGGTTCTTTCGAAAATGTTGCTCAATGTTCTTCAAGTTTTGTATAATTTTTCAAAGAAGCGGAACTTGTTGGACTGTACTTCAAAAATGTGTATCATTTCGTTTTTGTTTTTATGTTGTACTTATGACTAAAAATCACAAACTGGGTGATGTTCGACGCAGTTTTTATCTTGCTTCATTATAATCGTGATAGTTTCACATTTTACATAGTTTTTAAGTTAAATAAATCAGGAATTTAGATAAGCATATCAGTAATAGAACTTTTATGTAAGGTCAACTTTCTAACTGTACAATTTTTAAAACAACGCCAGACTATTGAATATTGCCCTCATTCGCCAGGTGACATGGCGGTTTCCTCGGGATGAACGTCGTCAATTTTTATGACATCGTTCCTACTACTATTTAGATACACGTTTCATGGAGTCTGATGCCTTGTACGAACATATCGTTCCAACTTTAAAAATGAAATTCGATTAAAACCACAAAGTCTTAGACGAAGCTATACATTGAGCTCTTTTGAGATTGAGATAGTGTTGAAAATGTTGAAAAATAAAATTTTATTTGTTTAC